GTTAGGAAAAGGTTGGTGGTGCTGGAAAAAACCTCTAGAATTTATTAAAAAAGCAGCTGCTAAAAATGTGCCTTCACACCAGAACATTGCAGTGGGCGTTGGCGCAGAAGGTCTTCAGCCCGTTCACCGGCCGACAGAGGGTAAAAGGGCCGCAAAGCTGGCGAGGTCCTCGAACGCACCGGCCCAGCGCCTGGTCGCAGTGGCCGAGGACCGTGGCGAAGAAGGGCGTCGTCGCGGGGAGGCACTCTCCGTCGGTGGTGCACCGTTTTGAGGGCGGCGACTGAGCTCGGAGTTGCGGAAAGAGGCTCAGAGTTGAGGAAAACGAAGAAGATGGTGGAGGTAAAACGGGAGTTTGTTTTGGAGGAGGTAGAACAGGAGTTTGCTTTGGAGGAGGAGAAGGACGGGCTGGACGTGGTTTCGGTTGTTGAGGTTTCGGTTGAGGTTGCTGAGTTTGAGGAGTTTGAGGAGGAGGACGCTGCTGAGAAAGTTTTTGCTGTTGTGGACGTTGTTGTTGTTGCTGTCGTTTTGAAGGTGAAAACTTGCCACCAAAACTGCTCATCAGCGAGCTGCCCACGCCCTCAGTCAGTCGGTTGAAGTACTCTATCAACGGGCCGAGCTTCTTCTTCTCCACCAGGGCGGTCTTCAGCTTCTGCAGCGTGGCGGCAAGTNCGGGAAGCGACAGGCTGTTAGGCGATGACAGTTTGATAGAGGGCAGCGTCGATTGAATCGTCTGGAGGAGGGCTTCCAAAAGCGGTGGGCTGTTTTTCTCCTGTTCAGCGGTACTGCCACTTCCGGTGCCACTTCCGCCTAAGCTTAGACCCAATAGAAAGGGTTTGGAGGGAGTAAAGAGGCCTCGATGGGCAGGGGCTCGGGGCTCTGCTGTTGAAGCGTTGAAAGGTGAGGAAGTTTTCAAGGGCGGTGGTGAAAAGGGTGACGGAAGTTCAGTGGAGTTGTGTGATGTGGTGGTGCTGCTGTTGAGGGGGTTTTTTGGGTGGTCTTTATCTTCAGATGACCGTCGAACGATGATTCGCCGCACTGCTAGCTGAGAAGAAATGGCATTGTTAGAATCGTTGGAACCGGTCTTGATAAGCAGCTCAGGACGGTGTTGTCGACCTTGGTCTACTGATAAGGAAGAAGAAGAAGGGAAAGATGGCTGAGGTAATGGAGGAGTTGTAGTAGTGGTAGTGTCTGGACTGTGGTGAAGGGCGACGGCAAGTCGAAAGCGCCTATCAGATTCATCCTCGCCTTCAACCTCATCCTTCCTATCATCAGCCATGCCCACCTTCTCGTAGAAGGCTTTCTGGAACTCCTGATAGCTCTCAATCCTGGCGCCTGCCGATCCAGGACGGGCGTACTTTTCCAGCCACTCAAATGTCTCCTTGGGAAGACCGCCGTAGAGAGGGCTGTTGTTGTTTTCGTTGTTGCTGTTGCTGCTTTGATTCTCAATCGGTTGCTGCTGGACCGGTGGAGCTTCTGAATTACCAGTGTGCTCAGTGGGCAGTTTGTCGGTGTTGTTTGATGAAGAGGAAGTGTCGTTGTTGTTGTTGTTGTTGTCAGTGGCTGATAAAGTGCCAGCGGTGGTGCTGTTCTGAACTTTAGCACTGTTTGCTGTGGCCTGATGAAGAAGTGTCTGGTCAGTGCTGTTTGAGATGAAGGCAATTGGCTGAGATGAGTTGTTGACCTAAAATTGAAAAATGTTTGTTAGCATTGAATGGGTGAAATTAGACATTCTTACCTGCGTGATAATGATGATGTTGTTGCTGCTGTTTGCTGCTGATGCCTCAACTGAACCGGTTGAATTCTGGACGGCCTGATCAGCATCAGCTTCAGCATCCACCACAATTACCTCCGGTTCGAACTTTTGTTCATCATTTTGCTCTGAATTTTGAACATCGTTCTCCTCTTCGTCCTTCACGTCGTCTAAGTCCAGGTCCTCCAAATCCTTCAGTTCCTCCTCTAGGTCAAGTTCGACAGAAGTTGTTGAGCTGTTGAGACGATTCCTGAGGGCACTACTTAGTGCTTGGAGGTAGTCGGCAGCTGATGAAGACGAAGAAGAAGAGGACTTTTCATCCTCAAAATCGTAATCATCAGAGTCTAGCTCGTTAGGCGAAGAAGAAGAGGATGAAGAGGATGAAAATGAAGGTTGTGATGAGATGGACTGATCACTGGTCGTCGAGTTGATGTCAATGGTGATGGTAGTGGTGGTCGTCGTCGTCGTCGAATCACCATCGTAGTCCACGGAGATTTCAGTCTGTTGGACGTCATTTTCTAGGTCCAGCTCCAGAGCTAGAGCTCGGCAGAGGCCAAAGTGAAGGACCAGACAGGTCAGAAAAGCTGTGATTGTGAACAGCAACTTCATGACTGTTGCTGTTTTTAGGTTTAGAGCTAATGAAAAAAAACATTAGAAAATAAGATGGAGAAACTTCGACCAGCCCTACCTAAACACAAGCCGACTGTTTAGCAAGCAGATTTTGGGGTACTGTAGAAAGGGCAAATTGCAGAACTGGGAAGCCACTACACAGATGCACTCTTAAGTCAACTTGATTAGCTTTGAACTGCTCCAACTTTTTCCCTTTACCCTTTTATATCACTAAAAACTGCCCCCAAAACACTCAACACAAACAGTGCAGGAAAGGTTGAAGTGCAGGCAGGCAGTCAGTCAGTTTGCCAAGCCCAATTCGCACACACACACACACACACACACGTTCTGATCAGGTTTTGCAGTTGTCCTTGTCTGAAAATGGCCAACTGTGTTTGGTAGCACCCATCCCACTTGCAAGTGGTGACCCCACTGGATGGCAAAACCAGTAGCAGTGGTAGTGGCCAGCCACACACACAAAACACACATCCAAAACTAATCAGGCGAAGCACGCAGGACTGACAAACTGTGCTAAATCCTCAAAAAGATAAACAGACAGGATAGAACGGACAGGTCAGAATGGACAGCTCGGGGTCAGAAAACCGAGGTCAAACTCGGGTCAAATCACTGAAGGGTTTACTAATAGTAGAGGTCAGCTCTAATAGTTAGCTAGCAAACAGAGCAAACACCTGGCTGGCTCAAGCAATGGTCATATGTTAGTTCCAGTCGATAAAGTTTTGCCAACTTTGCAGTCGGTGTTTGTGTGTGCCCAATGTCCAGCCCAATTTTGCTTGTCTATTTTTACGCTTGATCACCAACAGAGTTTGCCCCTGTCATTAATGAACTCAATTTTTTTTTAATTTTGTATTTGTTTTACCCCAAAAAATCAGCCCACAAAGTTTCGTTTTCCGGCCTCCGGAAACCTAAACTTTGGTTGTACCGCTTAAAAGGAGAAAAAAGATGTAAATCAACAGAGAGACTACAATTGAATTGAATTGAGTAGAAGAGTCAGTGTTTATTTTATTTTGCATTTTACTTCAGCTAAATAAAAGTGAAATAAAATTAAAAATGCCACGTTTAGCAGCAGCAGCAGTGCTGTCTAGTGCTGTGACCGGAGCTGGAGCTGAAGTTGAAGTGAATGATGATGATGATGATGATGTCTCAATTGGCCCTTCATCGGACGACGACGAGGATGACTGTGTGGGCGTTTGTGTCGGCACTACTATTTCAGTGGGAGGAATTTCTGTTGTTGATGTTGTTGTTGTTGTTGTTGTTATTGCAACAGCAGAGATCGGCAACTCAATTTGAGTTTGAAAATGTAGTGCGCCATTTTTTGGTGATAAAGTTTTTGGTCTGTTGAAGTACTGGCCCACACAGGTGCCCGTCACTCGGTCGCATCGATTTGCTTTTAGGCCAAAAAGTGTCACTGACTGGCAGTCACGCTGAGAGAAGCACGGTACTCGAGAGTTGATAATTTGAGGCAAATGAGGTCTTTTTAAATGATGTCGGTCATTTTTAGCATCGTCATCATCATCATTATCATCACCGAGGTCTGAGATTGTGGCACTCAAGTTTAGAAAGGGCTGCTTTGCGTACTTGCTTATGACCATGGGGCTGCTGGTGACCACTATTGCTGGGAGATATTGAATTTGCTGTTTCTTCTTTGGAGTTTCAAATTCCGCATTTTTTACTGATTGGCTAACTGGTGGTAGTGGTTTCTGCTGTTGCTGCTCTTGCAGTATTGGCAGCAGTGGATGTTCTTCCTTTGCGGAGTTTACAGTCAAGTTTTGCCCGTTTGAGTTTTGTATCAGTTCAGCAGGTAATGGCGTACTGGTGGTACTGGTAGTGGTGCTAATGAATAGCTCTGATGAGTTTTGAATTTGTGATTCTGACGATATTGAGGGCAGTTTAGTGACTGTGGTGTTAGCAACAACAGCAGCAATAGTTTCATTTTCCATCTGTCCTTGCTGCTGCTTACTGTCAATGTCAGAAGAAGAAGAAAGTAGTGATGAGGCGATTTGCTTGTGAATTTGCTGAGCAGGACTTTCTGTTTGGTTTTCATTGGAAACAGTTGTGAGATTTAGGAGTGTTTGCTGCTGTTTTGCTTTCTGAATCGCTTGTGGCAAAGATTCGTTAGCAGCAATTGACAAGTTTCCACTTGATAATTTTAAGGTGGTGTTCCAGAGATCACCGGTGACCACTGTTGAGGTGTTTAGTAGAAGTTGATGTTGCTGTTGTTGAACCTGATCAGGAAGTGAAATGTCAACAGTTGACCCATTTTGCAATTGTGGCATAGGTAAAGGTGATTCCACTGAGTAAGTGATTTCCTCATTTGTTTGATTTTGAGGCGTGTGAGTAGTTGTGATGTTAAAAGTGGGCTCAATAACTGGTGATAAACTTTGGTTTTGAAGCGGAACGGTTGTAGTTGAAGTTAAGTTATCACCATTACTGAGTGATAAATTTTGCAGCAGTTTTGGCTCACTGAGCTCAATGAAAGGTAGTGATGAGTTTTGATTGAGATGTTGAAGAGTTGTGTTTTTGTCTAAAAGAGCAGTTAGATTGACCTGTTCAGTACTATTCTGTTGATAAGTTGGCGTTAGAAACTCATTAGCATTAGTCGAGTTCAAATGTTGAGTTTGGGAGTTGTTGGAAAAAGTCTCTTTCAATGCCGAAATGTTGTGTTGAAGTTGGTTTGATTGAACAGGTTCACTTAATTCTGTCAAGTTTAATTGCTGTTGAAAAGGCTTTGAAAACTTATCTATGTCTACTGACAAGTTTTGCACCTGTTGAAGAGGCTGATCCAGAGGTTGAATGCTTTTTGACAAATTCAAAAACAACTGAATAGGTTCAGAGAAAGCATCAAAGTCATTGAGAAAGTCATATTCAGTTTCATTTGCCATTTTATAGCTTGATTCTAACTCTTCATCATCATCATCTTCATCATCATTGCCATTTTCGATCTCATCATAATCTTCATCTTCATTTTCATCGTTTTTATATTTTTCATTTTCCTCTCTATCATTCTCTATCTCTTCACTCTCATAGTCCTCTTCATTCTCATACTTTTCATCATCTTCATCATTTTCATTTTCAAACAGCTTACCATTTGTGATTGCTTCTTTCATTTGCTCTACTGGAGCTGATGAATTTTCTTTTTGAGGTTGAAAACTGGAAAGTTGACTGCCAGTTGTCAAATTCTGCACCTGGATCATCTCATCTTCTGCATTTTCACTTTTTTCAAGATCTTTTTCATCGCTTTCACTGATACTGTCATTCAAAAAGCCATCATCACTTTTAATCAAGTTGTTTTCTTCTTCTGCCTGCCACATGACATCATCGGTCTGCTTTTGCTGGCTGAAACCGCTGCCATCCTCCTCCTCTTCTTCTTCTTCCTCCTCAACTTCATCCTCGAATTCAGGCACCTGTTCAGCCCTGTTATCACCATCTTCAGCTGTATCCTCATCAGATTCTCTTTCCGCCTCGTACTCGCCATACTGATCCTCAAGCTCAACTTGACCTTCGGTTTCATTGTCAAAGTAATCGAAAGAAACATTTACCACGGAGGAATAGTTGTCCGGTTTTGGCAGCGGTGGTTCAAGAAGTTGTTGTTGGGGTTGTGGTTGTGGTTGTGGTTGTGGTTGTGGTTGTGGTTGTGGTTGCTGGCTTTTATTTTCGACCAGCGTTTGAGGCATTTTATTCGTTTTAAGTACAAGAACTCTGTTGTCTGGCGATGATAGTGGTGATGGGGGTGATTGTGGTGATTGTGGTGATTGAGTAGTGGTGAAAAGGATGTCTGTCAGTGGACGATCATTATCTTCAGGCAGCTGAAAGGTGTACGTGCCGTAATGAGAGTGTGAAAGTGAACCGGGAACTAAATGATCATCAGGATCAGGATCATCATGAAACGGTTCGTCGTAGTAGTCGTCGTGGTTGTGTCTGTAAAACGGGTAAACCGGTGCACAGTTGACCAGCAAAAGCAGTGTAATGCAAATGATGAACACCTGAAAAATTGCTCTCATTTTGATGATTCGCAGTAGTTCAGTTGTTCAGTTTTCTGATTTTTAGAGTTTTTTGTAGCTAAAACAAAAAACAAAAGCAGAATTTAAAGTATAGCTTCTTTTCAAAACAATGTTACCTTTCTAATCAGCCAAACTGTTGATGCAAAGAAACAAACTCAAAACTAGTGTATGAAAGGGGTATCGAGGGAACAAACAACAAGAATTCCATTTCTGAATCAGGTTTCTACCTTCAGGACCAGTTTGTACTAATTACGCCTAAATGACCCTAGTTCATTTAGAGCTAATTATCCTCCTTTCTTTTGTTCACTTACTCCTGTCTACACTGACTAGTGTTTAGGTCAGGCCAAGTCAGGTCAGGTCAGGTCAGGTCAGCCTAATTATTAGTGACTAATATTAGGAGCAGGCAAGCAGTTTTAGGTAGTAAACAGAGAAAAGTTTGCGCTAGCACTTAGCTACGCTTGACCGATATCTAAATCTAATTTAGTTGTTTGTTTTTTACCCCGTTTTTAGGGCAGCAAAGTTTGCCTCTAAAATAAACGCCCGAATTATTATTGTGTGTTGTGTGGTACTTTAAAAGCCTCCTCTCTTTTACATTTAAGTTTTGTATTTTTATCCATCTTTCAAGAGCAACTCATGAATGCAAATTGGATTGCCAATTAGAGAGAATGTAAAGTCGTACTAGCTAGTTGTACTTAAGCTTTTTTCTCATTTCATTTGCCTCCCTTTCGTTGTCACGTTTCCGTCACAACTACAAAAACCAAAACCACTAATTAATTTTAAATTTAAACTTAACTCCCTTTTAATTAAGGCAACTTCTGAGAACCAACTTTTGGCGCACCAGCGCTCTTTTTCTTCATTTGCAAACACTCGTGCACGCACTGTTAATTAAACTGCAGCCCAAAAGTGTCGCTCTTTTTCTTTACGCTGATGCTTCTGCTTTAGGCAAATAAACTCACACGGCTAGTGACCACAAATAAAACGACAGAGAAGAAAGAGGAAATCACTGGAAAAGACAGAAAAAATAAAAGAAGTCACTGCAATCAAATCACTGGCAAATGTGAACTGCCATCCTTCGCTATCTACACGACTGAACATTACCAAAAACCGAAACTTTCTTTTTTCAATTGACGTCAGCATACTATGCAGCAACCATAATCGGCAATTAACGACTTCTCCAAAAGACCTCATCATTTTAGAATATTCGCAGAACTTGAGCTCAGTTGGCAGTTTTTGAACTGTGAAAATCACACAAGCATTTCCGCCGATCACAGTTTAGTTTGGTGTGTGTGTTTGTGTGGGCTGTATGGGTGCGGTACAATTACACTGCTGATGTGATTTTTTGATTAACAGCCTTTTTATTTGGAATTTTAGAGTCATTTCCTCCTCATTTTCTCTCTTTTAGAATATTCCAAACAAACAGGTTTTTTTGCCTGATTCTGCGCACCATTGAATATCTCTCTCTCTCTCTCTCTCTCTCTCTCTC